ACAGTAACTTATGTATTAATGTGTATTTCAATAAATTTAAAAAACTAAAAAAGAGAGAATTATAAAATTGATAAAAATTATGTTTTATTATATCATTTGTTTACTACAGCAATGACATAACTCAAGAAAACATAAACTTATAATATTAATTTTTAAATACAATTTAGATGTAATAACACTAATAACTGATTAATAAAGGGATAAAAATATATTTTTAAAAATTATATTTTCTCTTTTTCCATTTTTTCCTACAAGCAATTAAAAATGACAATTTCTTAGTTATATCGTTATAGCAAATGTGCGATATGTATTAAAAAAGAATCAGTTTAAATGATCGTAATTGATGTAAAAAGAATTATTTTGAATTTGTTAATTCTTTACATTTTATTATTTTATTAAAAATAAATTTATATTTTCTGTTGCATTTTGACAAAATAAATTACATTCACATTACCGAATTGAAAACACTAAAGAGAAAAGTCATCACCGTCGTGCCACTTCATCGAGGGCGTCGCACGGAAATCATTCGGACCTCCACCTGTTACTGTGGTGCGTGCTGAAAACCTGTAGGGATGAGCTTCTGAGTGCTATCGATCGCGCCGGATCAATGGATACAATTATCCGGTCACGTGTCGGGCTAACGGCGACAAGTAGCCAGGAAGAGAATGGAGTCAGAGAACGCGTCCTCTCGTCGATTCTTCGACACCCGCGACATTGATAAATGTTGCACGCGTGACGCACATTCTGTCACTGGTCGAGTCTCACAGGTTATTCAAACAAAATGTTCACCGGCCCTTTCTTCAAAAGACAAGTGTCCTTTGGAAATAAAATTGGTGCCCACTTATAAATAGAGCGTTGCTCCATTTTACGAATCGGACAACGAATTAGAAAGAAGCTATATAATTCTCTGTGTTCATTCAAAGAATGAACACAGAGAACGTAAAAGCGTAAAATGTTCCAACTGGGGAAACCGAGGAAAGATAATGCTGATTTTTCAAAAGCTAATCTGTAAGAGAGAATATTTTAGAAATATTATAAATCCCTAAGCGCATGTATTCTTTTCATGTTTAACGAGGCTCTTATTGTTAAGAGTATTTCTATTCTAGTATTTTAGCAACAACAATTTGCTTTCGCAACAATAATTTCGCGTTGATTTTAATTACCGCGTTATAACTCGTGAATAGAAGCGGCTAAGAAAATTCTCCCGCGGGATATCGTAGCCTGATAAAATCCAGATCCGTTCTCCCCGATCTCGAGGGATGTGGGCTCTCACGATCGACGATTTCGTGCCAATTCTCTATCGACGATAAAGGACTGAATTGAACGGAGATTCGAATTTAATAATGAAACTTTGCTGCGGTGGGGTAGATCGTAATCAATGATACTCGCGGAAGTTAATTGCTTCAAATCTTCTCACGAATAGAGAAGATACAAAATCGATATCGTCAATAATTGATTTATAATGCTTAAATCCGTTGAATTTCTTTATTAATCGCTCTTAATAAAATTAGATACAAAATTAATTTAGTTAGAAAACGCATTGATGCTTTCAAAAATGTATTCCTTAAAATTTTTATATGCGCAGTAATAATATTAATCAATCATGATGGTATCTTTAAACGATTGTAATCTTTTTAATTTATAATATAAAAGTTAAAATCTAAAATAATTTAGAAAAAACAGCTAACTAAGTACGAAAAGAACAATTTTGCTGAAGTATCCAAAAATTTAACTAAATATAGATCTAAAAATAATTTTGTTGGACCATCAAAATAATTATATATAGAATTCTCAAGCATGATAAGCAGTGCTACAAAAAATTTTATTATTCCAACAACCAGCTTGAGCTAAATTTTTAGATACTTGGGTAAAACCGTCCTATTCGTGTGGTAATAAAAAAAAAAACATTCATGATATCATCCTTTCATAATACATTCGCACTTTCAGTGGCAATAAAAACGTTTTAATGCACGTTTTTCAATATCTTTCGCACATATATATCTACGCTCGTAATATTTTCTTGCACGCTTCGTTATAATTGAGGACTCGCGTGTGTTTATACACGCGTAACGATTTCGCTGGCGTCCATACCTCGGCAGGTTGGGTAATCAAGCATGATGCTTTCGGGCTTCGAGCACACGCTCTATTTGCACCACGCATCATAGCTACGCTAATAACGTCCCATGAGGACCTAATGTCGAGTCCGTGCTCGAGCCATAATCCGAAGCGTGCGTGCGTGTGCACCATCACGTCACCCCTGCAGATTTTCTTTAACCATGAACCTCAAGGAGAACAATCAACATATTCTTGTAAAGCAATCTACTAATTTAAAATTTGAATAAACAGCCTTTCCCGAAATAAAACTATTTCTTCCATTTGCTGGTTTTTGAATGGATTCAATAAGTTGTATACGAGTCTCAAATATTCATTAATTAACTATATTTCGTTAAAGATTCGAGCAACTTTTCTTCTAACAGAATTTAATTACGTACCGTATTATTTTGTAGATTCTGAAGTTTTAATTTTAAATATCATGTTCCTTAAAATTCTATATCATAGTTAAATCTATCAAATATTAGCTGATGTATAAAAGACTGCTCTTAAATATCAAAGGAACAATCAGAACACAATTCTTTCAGTTAAGTAACGCTTTGATATGTTTAACTTCCATATGTGTCAAAATACAAATCAATTCATTTCCCCATACAATATAGATCTTCAAGAAACGTTCTAAAAGCATCCAGAAAACCATTTCTGCGTACCTTAAATGTCTTAAGGATAAAGTGCTGCAGTTAGTTTCAAAATAAAGAATGTCCATATTAACGTATGTACTTAATAAATAATAAACTAAACTTGAGTCAAATACAATACATTTTCTTAAATTAAATTGTTTAACTTTATTATTTTAGTTAAAAAAAACGACATATTGAATAAAACCAATAGAAATGGTTAACTCAAATCAGGTATAATTTGACATTACAAATTCAATAATGTTCGCTTACAGCTTACATTTTATGCGCAAACACATTAAAATAATCAAAGCTAATATCCGTAAAAAGCTAATAGCTAATATCTGTAAAGAGATTATAAATAACAAAAATAGGATTTTTTGTATAATATATTTTTTCTTATAAGTAAATCTAAATTAATACGAAAGATAGAAAGTTATGTCCAGGCACTCCGTTATTCCTAATCACGCAAAATTCATAGTAATTACAACAGCACTCACAAACGTCTGTTATATAAGACGAAATATTGCATTTTGACTTAGCATTTCGAGTTACATATTGAATGTCGCATGTATCGGATGTGTTATAAATCATACATTACGATCAATTAAAATAATTACAGATAAGTAGCCTTCGTGCAGACTGTATCGAATCAATCTACACGTAACGTCGCTCTTTAACTTGTTGCATAAATAAGATAGGACATGCAAAGATCGTGTCGTACTACCTGCGAAAGCAATATAATGCAATATGTATACTTCCGAGACTAACGATAAGCATAACGGACAAGATCTCGTTATAGAAAAATTATAAATACATTTAACAAGCATCACTTAGATCAACTTCAATAATTTTTCAGTTAAATAATCGCGTAGGTTTTAATGATTTTAATTATCGTATTGCTTAAATAATTTCACAAGTTTTGATGATTTTAATTATCACATTGCTCATTATTTCGCAAATTGTTTGCATTGATTTTCATATGAATTTTCATATAAATTTTAATCACCGTGCAGTCTCAGTATAATTACTGAGTGGATGAATTGCATTCTACTCCTTAAGCTTGTGTTAGACTGACTGGTTTAGGATCTTTTGCGCAGCGAGTCGAATTTAATCACTCGCAGGATCCGTTCTTCGCGATGGAACAAAGGCGGCATTTGAGTTCGGCATTCGGGCGAACAAGCTCGTCCATCTGTAAAAGTCAGCGGCGTCTCCCGCGCAAAACGGAGCCTCCTAGATTCTAATCAGGGGCTGCGTGTACCTATTAGGGACGTTCATTGTGCGTGGGTGTACCGTGAATACGACAGGGGTAAGTCTCCCCTTCGGGATGGCCCCATCGAAAAGCTGGGGATGTGACTTCGCTCTCTTTCTTTTGTCTCTCTTTCTCTCTTTCTCTCTCTACGAGACCGTCACTTGTCACGTATGATTATGTGAGCGATTCCCTTATTCCAAGCTGCAAACACATGCGATGTATGCGACCAGCACGGAGTGCATGGTCTATTCAAATATGTGGATGTTCGCTGATTGGCGATACAACAAAAAAACAAAAAAAGATTCCTTGTCATAAAATAAATCGGCATAAAAACAGAAATTGATTTCATTCAAAATTAATTATACAGTTAATCACAATTTAACACATTCATTATTTATTACCATGGTATAATTAACTTTTAACGCATAGATTATAAGTAAAAAATTTGACAATATTAAATTTTTTAGCTTCCCCTTTCTGCTACAATATTTAATAACAACGTAACTTTTTACTAGAAGTTTCGTTAAATTAAATAACAAAATCTTATTCTTTAATGTATTTCACATCAATTTAGCAATTATAAAGTCTTTCGACTTAAACATCCGTAGAATCTTTTCTGTATCAGCTGATTGCTTCAGTCACGTTTATGCGTTATGTCTTTTAACAAGTTGTATCTATCGTGTGCTATTTCATAATTTAATTTTACAATTTTATGAAAAGCCATAACAATTATACTTTTATCACTCTCTCTTATCTTTTTTTTCCCTTTGCAAATATACACCCCTTGAGGTAACAGCAACGTGTCGGACTCGCCATCGGGGTTAACGAGCATCAACGAGCACGAGATATGCCTCGTGTAAAAACACACAGCGCGACGTCGTCCTCGTGCGGGCTTCCAGAAGTTATCGGGCTACTTCCGAGGCATCGTTACTGCCGGCCGGCTATCTTCCAATGATCGCGCATCTGTCGTGCATTTTGGTGAATCACTCCGTTTCACGGAGCGCTCGACGGGCGTTGCTCTATATTATGGCTTCCACGGTCCGCGGGTGTTCCGGGATATTGCGTTCCCGATATAGACCAGCCGACTGACTAGCCGGGTCAGCTGCGGAAGCAGCTCGTGCCACCGGCGAAACCATAAGGCCCGCAATTATGGGGTTTGCGGTCGGCCCCGCGATGATTTGTCGGCCTCTTCCTCGGTAATTAACGGGATGACTTTCAACCGCGCCGACGACTCCGAATCTTCCCGCGTGATTTTTTTCGCTGTCCGCCGCCCACATGAAAGCTGGGGTCTCCAACTGATTTTTCAAACGTCAACGAGTCCCAATGATTTAATTAAATGGATTCGATGGAAATTATTGAATAAAATTTTTATTTTTAATTATTTCCAATCTATCTCCAATACAAGTAAAAATTAATGACTTAAACATATATTTATATTGTAGGAATTTATAATACTTAAAAAAATTCTTTTAATTTTTAATAGTACTATTTCATAATTTTACCGCCAAATCTCATTTTAGGTGTATCCTTGCAAATTTTCTTTCGTAATCTAACTCATTTTCTGTTTTATTGACAACGTCGTTTTGTGTCAACAACGAATAGCTTTCATTTACATCCAAAGAACAATGCGTATATTATAAATATGTAAAATTATATCATTATATAATGACGTTATATAATAACGTTATTATAATGACCACTTTCCACCAGAGAAATTAATTTAATTGATATTATTGAATGTTATTGAACATTTTTTTTTAAATAAACGTTTATTAAACGAATTTTGCTGTATACCCATTGTATACGGGTGTATTGTTTGTAAAAAATTTCATATTATGTTTTATTAAAATGTAATATTAAATATAAATCGGAAAAGCGCCTCTACTGCGCCCGCGGCGGAAGGGACGTTATGAAATTTTATTCCCGCTGGCCGACTCGGATATTATTTAGCGCGTCGCGTTTTGGTATGTGTTTACCAAAGCTCTCCATTCTGCGACCACAGAAGAGAGAGAGAGAGAGAGAGAAAGAGAGAGAGAGAGAGAATGAAAGGGAGAGCCTGCTTCTGCAATCGATATATGAAGCGACCGCGGCACTCCCCGGAGAGAATCGCGATATGTATTTTCAGAAAGCGCTTGCATGCTCTTCGAGCACACCCTCGCCAGTTCGCGAGCTTCTGTTTGCACCCGGTACCTTTCATCCCTGACTGTTTACTGTATGATCTTATTATTTCATTCGTCTAAATTTAAACACTTTACCCCTGCGGTACCGCGGTTTGTTTTCTCGTCCCGCCGCGAGACGATACGGTACCGAATAATTCGATCAGAGGGGCTCGCCTTTCACCCGAGGAGATTTTGGTAGTGGCGAATTTAGGAAAACTTGTCGTGATTTAAAATACTATTTATAATATTATAGTTTTAGAGAGAGAAAGAGAGAGAGAGAGAGAGAGAGAGAGAGAGAGAGAGTACTCTCTCTATCATTCCGAATATTAAAAAGTATAGATAAAAAATATTTAAGTAAATTATGTACATTTTTTAAAGATTAAAGCTTTAGAAGTATTACTTATTATAATTTAGAGGGGAAAAAGAACATTGACATATATGATACATATAAAATAAGAGTAATTTTTAAAAAATTAATTAAAGGTGAAAAACTCAGTAGCTGTATTTTGAAGCAGATTATCTTTGATTTTTATGATGAGAAAAAATTATATTGTAACAGAAAAAACTCATAAGTGCTAAACATCTACTTATATGACATTATTTTTCTCAAAGTGATTTTCGCGTCGCGAAAATTGCAAAAGATGCCAGGAGAATAAAAAATCATTGCGAACCCTCGAAAGCAAGCGGATGTGTTAACCGCGTTACAGGCACTGGTATAAGCCAAATCAAACATTGACATGTTCAATCATAGCGATCTCTCATAGTCAGCTAGAGCGATGACGGAGAAGAGAAGAAAGAGGAAAAGAAAGATCGAGGGAGGCATGAACAAGCACATAGGATATGTAGAATCTAAAAGAAAGAACTAGAAATAGACGTAGAGAAAGAGAGAAAACAATTGAGAGAGAGAGAGAGAGAGAGAGAGAGAGAGAGAGAGAGAGAGAGCCACATCATACACCATCTGGCCTCAGAGGGGATTGGCACTAAGGGGTAGAAATTGAAATGAAAACAGGGCGCTACCCCAAAACCGTGCCGCGTCTTTGCTATGGTTGTCAATGAGGGCTATTAGGGGACGATATGTTTTTCTTCTTCACAGATTTTCTCTGTGACGCGTTGACTTCCACCTAGATCTGATGATGAGAGCGATTATTGCTCGTTCATGACGAGCGAGCAAAGCGGGAAAGAATGTGATTGTTATCCATTCTCTATTTGTAATTGACGAGTACAATAAAACGCAAAAATGTTACAAGATATTATTTATGAGATTATCATTTAAATATGTTAATTTCAAGATGTAATCTCTTGAATAATTAACTTCTTAATTTAATGTCTTAGGTTGTATGATACATTAAATTAATAGATAATACTTCAAACATAAAGTTCGCACGAAAGATTTCTTTGTTACACTTATACTTTATAATTTTGTAATTTAGAAATTACAGCCTATCATTTAAGAATCCCGTTTTTATTTTGCACGTACAAAGTGCATGATTCCAAATGATTTCTTATCTTTTTATCTGTCATTAGTTTATTAACCCTTCGGAGCTGACGTAAAAAAATCTGTAATACAATAACTGACACAATTACTGAGTAAGATCTGCTTAATTTATGTTAATTAAAAGACACTAATTTCAAGGAAAACGACATAATATAAAGAAATGAATATTAATTGTAAATATCTTAATAAGGTTAATCAATAAACAATATAAACAAGATATCTATAACATAAAATTAAATTGTTTCACGTTTTTTTATAAAAAAATTTATAATTGAATACACCGTCAGTTCCGAAGAGCTAATTAAAAATGCATTCTTTATGTTACTTTCAAATTAGTCCGCATTCATAAATCATCGTGTTTAATATTGACTGTATGTTGATCTTTTTAATAACATGCTCTGATAGTTTTTTAATATAAATTTATAGATAATCATATATTGAATGATCACTTCATGAGTAACTCTACGGGAGCACAAATGATGACATCGAATTTATGGCTCTAATTGAAGTATGCGGGCAATGCTCGAATTCTGAATATCTGCGGGTTATTTTCATCATATTATTATACAATTGTTCGATGGGTAATGATATATACCTCGTCTACGAACTATATAGAAATTATAAATTATCTGACTAAAATTACAAAATTAATGTTCATTATGTATGCATATAAATTAACAAAATAATAAATGTCATATGTATTAATTTCGTAAATTTCGAAAAATCTAAATTTCATATAATTATAACTAAATATTATTATGATGTTATAAAAAGCATTTTTTAATTTTTTTATTTGCGATATTTTAATTGTAAGAGTTAATTTATAACTTTTATTTTTTAAAACCTTTTATTTTATTTTTTAAGATATTTTGATATAAATTTAATTTTATCAATATTTATTATAATTATTTGTATTATTAGTATTGACAGCATACTTTATTACAGTATAATGAAACTGTATAGTTTATTATATTATATATTTGTATCTTCATATGTATCATATTTGTATACATTCAAATATACATACTGAGAAGATCGTAAACCGGGAACTGCGTTTATGTGTTTTCGATCAGCGAGTAAAGAAAAAAAGCGAAAAATACGTAATGATGTTCTGAATAGTGCTCGAGTTACCGTGCTCGACGAGCACTTGGTGTTAGAGCATTGAGAAGGTCACGTGTCGACTCGTGCATACCGGATGTCATGGTTTTGTCGTATTTAACGCCTCCTCTATGGTCTATTCACTTCGTGGTAAAAGCATGGGCGGTTCCTTTTCCGCCTAAATAATCAACAATGAGGTGCAAAGTCCCGTGCCATGAGAACACGATAATGCTGGATAACAATTAATACTGGATAATAATTGAAAGGATGTTCATTTTAATATAAAAAATATTATGGAGAGAGAGAGAGAGAGAGAGAGAGAGAGAGAGAGAGAAAGAGTAGAAATACTTAATCCCAAAAAATATTAACATTACATTAAAAGCTAATAAATGTTCTTATCATAGTTCTTATCTATTTTAATTGACTGCAATTTTGTATATTGTATTATGCATTCTTGTAAATTAAAAACAAAGGTTTCTAAATTTGTCAATATCTCTTCATTATTAGACGGCCATTTTTAATGGGAGAATTATGTTATGATGGTTGTACGATAGTCGGCACTCCTTCAACGCCGTTACTGGCTTATTTCACTTATGCAGATAAGCGGACATTTTCACGGACGATTACATGATGAGAGCATGGGAACTGGACTACGGAATGCCTCGATTTAACGTTGCTATAAATCTACACGTGATTTGCAATGCGTGCCACGGACGATCGTGTGGGATCCCTCCGATGAGCGTAGGAGTGCCGCATCAAGTATTGTTCCGTGACAACTATTTTCGTCTACAATAGGCATTTGACAAAACCGCGAAGCAATGACCGTGATCGATTATAGTTTTACTACGTATCATTTATGAATGATCGACTACATACGAGATAAACGTAAAAGAGGTTGTTAATTATAGTATATTAATTATACATATATATTTTTAGTGCGATCTACATTTAAAAAAAAAATATATCTACTGAGGAAAGAAAATTATGCCAAAGTTTTTATTTATAGCTAACTGTTTTGCTGAGAAAATATTTTTAAGCAAACTTGACTTTTCCGTAACGCCAACTTCTGGCGTAATTACGTAATTATTTTTAATTTTCTGATATTGTAATAATACATTTATATTTATATGACAATATTTTTTTATATGATTAGTTAATATAACAAGATTTAGATTTATATGACAATATTTTTAATAGTATAGATTCTGCTTTGACCTACTTTGTCCCTACGTTCGTAACTCATTAATGCATTCGACAAGTTTCCGTTTCGCATTTCAATGATATATTGTTCCCTAATGATTTTCCTTCACAATGTTATCGTGGACATCATCTACTTATGTAGGAAAGAAAAGAGGGCAATGAGGTTGTCGAAGAAAATAGACTATGGGGGACTAGAGACACAGAGATAGATAGGCAGATAGCTATAGATACTGGAAGAGAGAAACGATGTGAGCGTACAATTATCCTAATGGAGCCATGAACACCAGCACGCGTTATCGATTCGACGTAAGCACTTTTATACTGACTCTCTACGTAACTTATTAAGCTACACTATATAACTTAGCACAACCTTTTTTATCGTATACGTGAATTCACACGTGTTCTAATCTTCTATTGCTTCTATTTCAAATATGTTGACTTTTTCCTTCTCTTTTCCTATTACTTCTTAAAATGCGGGATAACTTTTAAATTATAAAAAAAACAAGTACAAAGTGAATCAAGAAATAAATATAACTTGAAAATTTAAAATGAGAGACTAGTTTGTGTAGAATTAGGTAAGAATTCAAGGAGAAAATATGTGTGTGTGGAGGTAATTATGGAACGAAGATTAAAATACCGTAAAAAGTAATGTTTTAAGGAAATTATATATATGTTTTAAGGAAAGAGAGAACTAAGAAGAGAAAAAAAATAGAGCTAAGTATTTAGGTATAGAATATGGAAAATTATTTATTAGAAGAGATATAGAAAAATATAAGGGAATAAAGAAAAATGTTATTATGGTTTTATGTAAAAATTGTATATTGGATTAATATGATATTAACTTAAATTAATCTTATTATATAGAAAGGTTGTGATATTTAAGAAAAGAATGTAGGTTTAGGTAACAGTAATATTTAACTATCAGATTTTAGTTAGCCGTTAATTATAAGATATGGATGGATGTAAGATATGTATGAGATTAATAAAAGATAATAAAAGACAATAAACCAAGTACCCTTTTGGCACATAAGCTGGCAATAATAATATTCTATATTCTATTCTAAAGTGCGAAAATAAAATTTGTTACAAAAATTAAAATTAAAAGGGTGTAGTAAATATGAAAAATATTTTCACATTTTAGAGGAAAAAAGATCTTATTTGTAGAAAATAAACATTAATTATCAATTTTATACAATGAGTACTACCAATAAAAACTAAAGAGCATGTTTCTGATTTTAAAAGTTAAATTTCTCGACTACACGAATACTTTTGTGCGTCCAAATAATATTATACAATTATTTATTTTCATTTATTTTTAAGATAATTTGTATATTAATTTTTGTGCGTCCTTGTAAAATAATTGTGAGAAATACGAAGTCTATTTTACTCTTAATTAATAAATTGTTAATTAATATTTACTTTTTAAAAATAAAGCTTTTTTTTTTAATATTCTTCATTGTCCGAATACTTTTTGTACTCACTGCATATCGTCCAAACGGTGATTCAAATCATACGTTTTTAATCAGAGAGTTCTTTTCTTTTTCCTCCCCCAAGGATGGTCCCTCGTTCAAGCAAACTGTAAAGTCTGCCGCGAAGCCATCTAAACGATTATTCCCAATTAACGGGCGGCCCACGAAAATCGGCAACAAACTCAGCGGGAAGGCGATCCTCGTGCATCGACGCACACGAGAGACGTCGGAATGAACAATCCACTCGTCAATATGGCCACGTGCTTGCACGTGCCAGGAACGTGCCGCGACAACTGGTGCCCCGCTCGTGCGCGCCATGTGCTCCGATGAATATGTACCACCCTGTATGTTGGGGGTGACACGCGCATGTTGCTTCGCAGGGTGAAGGATTACTTCGCGAGAGCGGTGACTGTTACTTTTTCTCTATCTTCGTATAAAGGCGAAGTATATGAAGTTTGCCAGACCTGAACGCCTCTCGTTAATCTCTTATGTGACGATTCTTCTCTTTACAAAAATGACCAGGCAGCGATGCTCCTTGAATTGCGAGCCATCGGAAATTAAATGTCCCTTTTGTGTCCATATTTTACACGTATCTCAGATAAAACTATATATATGGATATGGAAAAACAGTTTTGTTTTATTAAAGTATCTAAAAATTTAGTCAGATACAGATCTGAAAATAATTTTGATAAATTATAAATAATTATGTAGAACGCTTAAATGTTGAAAATGCTACAAAAAGTTTTAACATTCTAGCAATCAGTTTAAGCATACATAATTATTTTTATGGTCCAAACGAAATTATTTTTAGATCTGTATCTAGATAAATTTTTAGATACTTCAACAGAACTATTCTTTTCGTTTATGCTACGCCCGCATTCCAAACGAATATTATGTTTTGAAGTGAATGACGGTATCGACATCGGCAATAAAGCTCTCGAGATGTAACTTCTAATCGACAATAGTATCACAAATAGTATCCCGTGACCAACTGTCGCACTTAGATCGAAGTTGAACGTGTTCTGGATAACATATGGGACAGAGTCGAGTGTCTCACAGTATTTCGTGACCCTTTTCGCAATAGACTACTTCAAGGATTGATACCATCATTCGAGCTTTCTCGTTTGCAAATTGACACACTCTCAGCCTTCCCCTACATAGTTTATCTTCCACCCAATTTTCAATGTCCAATCTTATGTCTTTCCCAGTAAAAAACTGTTTTTAGTATTTATGTATAACCTAGATAACACATGCATGTCTAAAAGATCTTATAAAGATCTTATAAAGACATCTTTTGAGATATACATGTCTAAAAATACATGAAAGACGTATCATAAAGACGTCTTCTAGACATTGCGTGTTGTCTGGGAAGCGATATAATTTTAGTAGGTTTATATATTTAAATATAAATGATATAATTTTAGTAGATTTAAATTTCGATACAAAATGATACTTGCATTTATTTCTGATAATGAAACCAAATCAATCCTTGGCATTGGCTTAAAACTTTCAACACACTCACTAACATTAAACTTCAACACACTCAAATCTGAATTAAAATAATAACAATTCAATATCTAGTTTAAGTTTTAAAGATGTTCCTAAAATGTAACTTATCAGAATTATACAGAACATAATATAAAGGAATAAAATAAAAAAAAACACTCACATTCTTCCTTGATAGTAAAACGGCTTGGTGCTTTGACTCTCCGTTCTAAAACAAAAAAAAAGAAAATGTAAATAAATTTAAGAGCTAATTTAAAAATAGCTTCCCCTTAAAACTAATTAAAAATAAATTTAAATCAACGTATAAACAAAAATTGAAAAAAGAAGGAGATATGTTGTTTTATAGTGATAAAATAATAAAATTTTCATAATTGGATTTAATTTGCTTTAATAAGCTTTTGCAGACAAAAAAGTTTAAGTTAAAATTTTATGCGTACTAAAATTAAAATGCTTCAGTGCTTTTTGTTGCACATGTGCGATCACATAAAAAAATACTCTATAAAATCGTAAAGAAAAGCTGTCGATTCACTATTCATACTATTCTTAGGATCACTAGAGATTTGAGTGCGCGTCGACACAATTGCTGAATACGAGCGTCGTTCACGTATTCTGGGATTGTGAGCACCATAACTTTTTTATAGGACATTGTGTGTGTCACTAACATTTCAACTTGCCTGCACTTTTCCCATGCCAAGATAATACATAATTTACTCGCCACTATTATGAGTGAGTTCTAACATATTTCGTACGACGTGATATTGCGATTCGCCACTTTTTTAAATTGCAAATTATTAAATTACTTATTCGCATGATAGCCTTAAACGTATTGCATGTACAAAAATATTTTTAGATAATATTCACGTACATGAATTAATCATATCATACTTTATACGATAATTATATGTTTTTGTATGTGTCCGTGTAATTTACGATTCAGATTAATTATAAATAGCGAATAAATATTCGAGCGTTAAAAGAGTATTTGAGAAACCGGATAAAATAATGAAATTACGAAATTAAATATTCCTCTGAAAAATTAATTACAAATTTCTCTTTGTTATAATTATTATAATATTATTATAATGAATTTTAACAAATACATTAATTTGGATATTTCAATGAAACAGGAGAACAATAATTTGCATATAAATTGCAAACGAAATAATATTTCCGAAACATATTTCCTATATTAAATATAATATTGTATTTATTGTAATAATTAAAAATGTGTATTTTAATTTTATATATATATGTATATGCATATACAATGATTTGAAGATTTTCGTATAACTCCTAGTTTTCTGTTTTATCTCTTTTTGTAAATGAATATATTATATATTATACAATTATCTAAATATTACCAATTAAAAATCTAAAATTTCACTCGTTGATTTGAAGTCGCCTGATAAGAATTCCTGAAAAGTACTGATAAAACTAACGTCGTGGCATGTCATAAACAGAATAAATCTGTGTGAAAATATTCATACATTTAAATTCCACTTCTTTGTTTCTCGATTGTCTGTGCATGCATTTATTGTGAAATTACATTTATTGATCATCAAATCGCAGTATTCACAATTTTAATGTCTCGTTTCGCGCAGTTTTGAATCGAACTTCACGCGATCAACACAATAGCAGTTAATATTTTGCTACCGTCGAATTAAAAGAAACGCGCAAGAGTAATTTGTTGATTCTTTGATGTCACATTTTCTTTCTTTTCCGCGAATTTCGTGTAATAAGCGTATTCGACATCAACTTGTAAAAAGTAAAGAAAATATACGAAAAGTGAAATTGATGAAATTTCTTTGTGTATTGCGCGATAAGAGTTTTCTCTCGGAGGGATAATTTAAGAGTTAGCAAGGATATTTTCCTTTTGGAAAGTTTTCGCTTCTTGTGGCTGTACACAGAAAAACATTGAAAAGTAGAAGTTTCAACTTTTGAACTTTTGTAGTAAAGATAAGCAAAATCTAGGATGATATCAAGGTTGATATCTAAAATTTCTTCTTAAATATAATGTAATATTAACAATACAAAAAGATAAATATAGTAGGCTAATGAGAGTCAGCAACGATAAGCGGCGCAATTATTTAATGAACAATCAATAATCAGATATTGGATTGATGTCTTCTTTATTTTGAACTTCTATTTTCGACTTTTTTTGCTGAGGAGTCCTCCTAGACATTTTTATTATCAAATTTTGAGAGAGCGTCCTTTTTACTTTTGAATCTATTTAATTTGTTATCGTTGAAAAACGCTAATTTTATGTTGGTGTCTCTACAAATCGACTTAAGAATTATGGACATGTGAGCTAATTAAATTTGTATCATTCTTGCTGAGGAGGTCTCTAAAGAGAGTCGAAACGTTCAAAATAAAGAAGACATCAATTCAATATCTGATTATTGATTGTTCACTAAACAATTGCGCCATTTATTGTTGCTGACTCTCATTAGCCTACTATATTTATCTTTTTGTATTGTTTAAAATTCGAGAGTTTTAATATAATTATTATTATTATAATGCAATATATTATCTTTCAAAGTCTAATATAATATTTTCAAATCAAGCTATATTAATTAACTAATCAAAATTTTAAGAAGGGATTAATAAAATTTAATTTCAAGTAAAATTTAATTTCAGAATTTTAAAATAATAAATAATAACTAATTTGATAAAATATTATATCAAATTAGAATAAAAATAATGAATATGATTTTCTAGTAATTATATATTTTTACATATCTAAATTTGTAATAATATTAATATTGAGATAATAATTTTAGTATCATAATTTTCCTATATATTTATTGTAGATTATTATTTTTCCAAGTTATTTTTTCCATAGTCTTACAATTTTGTTTTTCAAAAATCGAAATATCTGTAATTTATGTCAGAAAACCCATGTAGTTCACATCTATAAAATAGTTTTCAGATTAAATGAGCGGCGGAAAACATGTGTAACATTTAAACTCATGTCCTTTCGAGTCCACGCAATCCTAATGCCGTGTGCCGGTGACATAATCGTAAGGTTACATAAACGCGGCCTAAACACCATTTAGTTCCCATCATGAGCCACTTAATCTCCGATCGCGTAAACTTCCAGTGGCAACAACGAAAGGGAACCAACAAAGCATTGTGAAGAGAAAGAGAGATGTATGTGATTATGTTCTCGACAAACAGGAGAACTCTGTCCCGCAAGAGTCACGTGGCGCCGTAGAAGTGAACACCACCTCTCTCTTTCAGTGTAACACTCCAAAAACTTACCCTATGTGATAGGCGATCGGCGAGCACGCCTCCAAGGAAAACAACCCCGAGGCCTCAGGCTTGTGTTCCCACGTATATACGCTAACTCAATCCCAGAATTCTCCATATAACGGTTCGGATTACACGCCGCTTACATCCGGAGGATACTATTGAATTAATCGACATCCGAAAATTTCATTTCAATAATTAATATTTAACAATTATTAATTTTAATAAATAATGTAGTAATATTTTTAATTATTAATGCATTACGAAGAGAAAAACACATGAGCACATACCTTTTTCTGAAAAAATTATCTTAAAGTTTCTATTTCATTTTATTTAAATACAATATATATAGAGATGGCTACAATCAAAAGTAAATAAAGTTGTAGCTAGCTCAAAGCTTCTACCATAAAATGAAATAAATGTGTTAAACGGAGAACTGAAAAGGATTAGAATTTTCTGAAAACGCAATATTATTCATATATTCAGGTTATGGAACTTTGTACTCTATATTTAATTTTAGATAAAGTTTACTTTACCAGTATTTTAGTTTATAGCTTGATTGAAAACTAAAGTATGTATAAAATGTTAAAAATATGAAAAAAAAAGATAAAATTACAGAGCGATTATTGTGAATATTACTAAAAAAAAATTTATTCTAAATTACCTTAGTATCTCTCTATTTGTTAATAACTTTTTGCTTTATAAAATTTCTTTTATAAAATGTTAAAAAAATAGAAATATATAGAGTATATTTTATATAGAACATATTTTTATATTCCACAAACAAATAACTATATAAATAGGTACATATATATTTATATACAAATATCTGTTATTTTTATATTTTAATTCATAATGTAAATACTGTGTTAAGACAATATATTCGCAGAAGTGTAATTAATGTGATGTTTGGACCAAATTTTTTCTTCACTACAATTCAATTGATTTTAGTTACTTTCAATATATTTTATGTATCTTGAGTTATGAAATACTTAACTAATTGCATTTATTTTATGTATTTTTTATTTTTTATTAAAAGGAATGTAATATTCGGTACATTTTTTATGCACTTGATGCATATTTTTTCTTTTTTAAACGAGACTTTAACGAAACTTTTTTAACGAGATATTAATTGCTAAAAATCGCTAAATATTACTTTTCAATAATTTTTTAATCAAATACTATCAACTTTACAGAAAAACTGGAAAAGAAAAATTATTTATTTTCTTCTCATAGAACTCTAAGAATTTTTTCAGAATTTTTTATCAACTTTTTAATACTGCGTTTTTTTTATTTTTACCAACATGAGAAAATACGGTATTAAAAAATTCTGAAAAAAATTCTGAAAAAATTCTCAGAACTTTATCTGAGAAGAAAATCAATAATTTTTATCTCTTACTGTTTTTCCGTAAAGTTGTACATTAAAAACACATACAGCCATAAGTTTCTAAAAAATGTTATTTTTCTGTATCAAAAATTTTAAAAATTTTCTTGAAACAATTTTCGAACGACGTGAAATGTAGCTCAAACAACGAACTTCTCCTTGCGTTTACATATTCTATAACATTTTTTTCACAGCATGAACCTATTTTTACATAAATGTTTTTGAAATAAACAATTGTTTTTTTAGTATTTTTTGTTTAAAATTATTATTTTTTTAAAACGCAGGTTTGGAAATGTCACTATTTTTTATTTTTGCTTTTTTAACTTAAAAATAAATTGTTAAGTGTATATTCATTATAACATTCCCATTTTGAATTTTTCATTTCAAATAAGAACAACAATCCCTACACTCCACGATGCAAGGCACCTTTTTTTTAGTTAGACATACATCCTTATAACATTAATATTTAAATATAATATTATAAAAATAAAATTTTTTTCAAACCTACTAATTTAATTAAATAATAAAGTATACTGAAAGTTTCAAAAAAGATTGATTCTTCATAATAAATTATC